TGCGATCGCCGCGGATGCCCGCCGTCGAGACCACGAGCAAGCAAGCAGCGAGCACAACAGCACGACATCCTGTTGCTCGGGTCGCTTTCTATCTCGCTGCACCCGGGTCGTCGAGGCGTGCCAGATGGGCGCGGGAATCTGCAGTCCACCTCCTGTTCGCCGTGGTGTGCCTTGGGAGCCGCGATGTTACTTCTGGTCGCTGACTGCTCGCTCGCGGCCGTGGCAGTCAGTCGACACAGGTGAGCCAGTGTTGTTCGGCACATGTACACAAAATCATTTACATATACACATACACACATCTGTATACATATCTAAAGATCTAGATCTGTAGTTGCTTTACGTACATAAATAAACATTGCAAGAACTCCCTGGCCCAGGAGATCATCGTGGTGGACGACGGGTCGTCCCCGCGCCTCACCGAGGTCCTGGCCGAGGTTCCCGAGCACTGCCGCCTGAGGGTGCTTCGGCACGAGCACACCCTGGGGCTGATGATAGCCAAGCAGACCGGTGGCGACGCCGCCACAGGTCGGGCGTTGCCAGAGGAGACCCTGGCCCAAGGCTGCGGCCAGGAACTTCTGGTCAGTGTGTCGCGCCACCGGTCCTGGCCCACCGCGCTCCGGCGCGGCACCGCCATCCACGGCCGGGTCCCCATGGAGCGTCCCGAGCTCTTCCCAGCGTCCCGCCCCGCGGAGCGGCGCGAGACGCGGCCCGCTTGCAAGGCAGCATGGCGTAGCGTGTCGCTGGGACCGACGCCGCGACGCGCTGTGCAAGAGTTCCTGACTCTGCCCTGGCTTCCAGAGCGCCCCTTACGAGAACCAGAGGGCCTCAGGGCGTCCAGACTGGCGCGGTAAGGTGGGGGCACCTTTAGGCCAGGATCGCGTCGTGCAACTTCCGAACAGGGGAGTTCATAGGTTTTTTCGACTGCCACGTCGCGCCAAATGTCGGGTGGCACCAGGAGATGATACAGCTGTTGCGGGCACAACCGATCCGATTGGTGGTGCCGATCATCACGGATCTTGACTTGGATACTTGGGATGAGAGGAAAGCCAGTGCTGTGAATTCCAAGTGCTATATCGACTGGAATTGTGATTTTATGTGGTTCGAGGACAATTCCGATTTTATCCCAGTGGTGAGTGGCGGCCTTGTTGCCACCAGCCAGTTGTGGTGGCGGCAGTCGGGAGGCTTCGACAGAGACATGCGCGGCTGGGGCGGCGAGAACGTGGACCAGTCGCTCCGCGCGTGGCTGTGCGGGGGGGACATCTGGGAGGCTGGAGGAGTGCCCAAAGGTGAGCTTCGGATGCCCGTGGCCGGCAGGCCCCCCGCCTGCGCTGCACTCCCGTGCCACGCCCCATCCCCGGCAGACGCGTGGCGCGAGGGGGGCGCCGAAGGGGCGACGCCGGAGGCGCCCCCACGGCTGTGGCCAGGCAGGCGCAGGGCGAAGACGAGACGCTCCAGCGCGTCCCGGAGCGCTCTCTCTCAGAGCGCTCGGGAGTCGGGAGCGACGAAGAGAGGGGGGCGATGTCTGGGACGCAAGAGTGACCCTGGGTAAGAGTGGCCTTTGGTGCGCGGCTTTTTGGGGGCCGCGGGGGGACCACACTGAGGCGCGCAAGCCGCTGCTTCCGCTTCGTTTTCGGCCATCTGGGGGCCCATCTGCGCCCGCACCAAAGGTCACTCCAGCGAAAGGTCACTCTTACGTCTAGTCGATCTGGGAGGGGGGTGGATGCCATGGCGGAAGCCATGATATCTCCCCGACGCCATGATGTTTCCCCCCCCCCTGGGCCGCGCACATGCCGCCGGCCATGACTTGCGCCCCCCCCTCTCGCACGCCCCCCCTCTTCGGCCGCCCCCGACGGAGCGCTCTGGAGCCGCCGCGGCGCCCGTTGCGTCGGTCAGGCCCGCCGGCTTTCAGGGATCGCCGGCGTGCCGCGAGGCGCGGTGCGGTCTTCGCCACGGCGCCGTCTCGCGCGGGGCGCACGCGGGAGTTCGCCGCCCGCGGGCGCCCGAAGTTTATGCTCGCGTTGCGATGTTCCCACCTATTGCGGCACTGATCCCCACGAAGAATCCCGAGCACTGGGAGGGCATCGAGACTATGGACGGTGTTCGCGTGTCGGGCCCCGGGAGGGGATTCTCGCTCTTGGCGCTTTGCCGGCGGGTCGGGCAGACACGATTTCGACATTTCTCGCGGTGCTCGATATTTAGGGGGACAAAAAGTGGCATAAACATAAAACCTCGGAGGTCCGCGCGGATTTCTCGGATCCGCGCTTGACCCCCCTCCCTGGCGCGCGGAGCGCGCCAGGGGCGGCGCCGGAGGCGCCACCAGGGGGCCCCAGCGCCGATCCGAGAAATCCGCGCGGACCTCCGAGTTGTTATTCCCTACCTAGGCTGTGCCTAGAAGGGTTCTTACCCTCTTAGCTTAAAGGGGCCGGGCAGTGTAACTCGCCCCGGGCGGTTCCCCCGGCATCCGCCCCGCGGTTTCCCCAGTTACGCCCCCTTAGCTTAGCGTTGCTTATCTCATCTTAGTTTAGCCTAGCTTAACTTAGCTCAGCTTATTTTAGCTTAGCTTAGGTTGACCTCGTTTAGCCTAGCTTAGCTTAGCTTAGCTTAGTTTAGCCTAGCCTAGCTCAGCTCAGCTCAGCTTAGCGCAGCGCAGCGCAGCATTAGCATAGCATAGCATAGCAAAGCATCGCATAGCATAGCATAGCATAACATAGCATTGCATAACAGTGCATAGCGCAGTATAGCATAGTTTATCATAGCACAGCGCAGCATAGCATAGCATAGCATAGCATATCATAGAATAGCATAGCATAGCATAGCATGACATAGCGCAGCATAGCATAGCATAGCATAGCGAAGCATATCATAGCGCAGCATAGCATAGCATAGCGGAGCATAGCATAGCATAGCATACCGCAGCATAGCATATCATACCATAGCCTAGCATAGCATAGCGCAGCATAGCATTGCATAGCATAGCGCAGCATAGCATGGCATAGCATAGCGCAGCATAGCATAGCATAGCATAGCCTAGCATAACATAGCGCAGTCTAGCATAGCATAGCGCAGCATAGCATAGCGCAGCATAGCGCAGCATAGCATAGCATGGCATAGCATAGCATAGCGCAGCATACCATAGCATAGCATAGCATAGCATAGCATAGCATCAACGCAAAGGCACAGCAACAGCAGCAACAGCAAAGCAAAGCACACGCAACAGGAAACAGCAGAGCAACAGCAACAGCAGCAACAGCAAGCAATAGCAGCAACAGCAGCAACAGCAAAGCAAAGCAAAGCAAAAGCAAACGCAAAGCAAAGGAAAGCACAGCAACAGCAGCAACAGCAGCATTATCAAAGCAGGTGTAGATGTAGGTGCAGATGTAGATGTCGATGTAGGCGTAGATGTAGGTGTAGGTGTAGATGTAGATGTGAGTCTCGCTGTTGATGTAGATGTAGATGCAGGTGTGGATGTAAGTGTAGCTGTCGGCGTGGATGCAGATGTTGCTTTCCTAGATGCTCCAACTCCTAGGTAGGGTCGCACTGGGATAATGTTTATGCCACTTTCTGTCCCCCTGCGCAAGCACAGTGGGAACAGCGTAATGCTCGCGCGCTTCTCCGCCCCCCGCGGCATCGTGCGCTCGAAGACCAGCAGGCGGGCGGCGGGCACAGCCGGCAGGGGCGCGGCGGGGCGGGTTTTGAAGAGGGCCCGCGGGGGCTTCCTGTGGGAGGCGGGGGCCCTCTGACGAGCTCTGCATATGTTGTCACTGTTGCCATGCTTCCTCGCAGAATCCGCCTGCAGGAGGGCATGCCCGACCTGAAGCAAGCAAGGGCGGCGCGAGGATAAACCCGTGGGGCCCTGCGCGGAGTTCCCGAGTCTGCGCCGGGACCCCCTGGTGGCGGTGCCCCCGGCGCCGCCCCCTGCCGCGGAGGCGTGCCCTCGGGACAGTCGACACTGGTACGGAAAGAGGGAGCACAAAGACCGACAGCAGTTCCTGTTCATTCTCCACAGGACCCGCTGTCGGTGTCGCCGCGCCCAGTGTCCATTTGAGACAGGCAGCAGCCTGCCCGACAGCGGCCGTCGTTGGTTTGGGACAACATGTGCTGTTGGGCGTGGTACCCATTGCTTCCTTGCCCACTCCGGGCGTCCAAATGCCCAGCGCCGGTCCAACGAACCTCCGCGCGGAGCTCCGAGAGCGAGCTGCTGTTCATGTTTCTCCTGCTGCCAGAGCCAGAAGCCTCCGAGCCCTCCTCAAAGAGGCCGTCCCTCGCGTCCCTTGCCGGTGCGCGCGCCGGCAAGCAGGGTCGCGCACATGTGGCGCGTGCCGGAGGACCAGAGGACCAAGGCGCACTACACCCCCGTGCGCGGCGTGGACAATCTGGGGCGGGTGGCGGCCGCGTGGTTCGACGATTTCGCCGTGAAGTTCAAGGGCGGCAGGCTCAGGAGCGGAGGGGGTGTCCTCCTCCTCCTCCCCCCCTCCTCCTGGCCTCTTTCTCCCCCTCCTCCCTCCTGCTCCTCCCTCCTGCTCCTCCCCCTCCCTCCTGCTCCTCCTCCTGTCTCCTGTCTCCTCCTCCTCCTCCTCCTCCTCCCCCTCCTCCTCCTCCTCCTCCTCCTCCTCCTCCTCCTCCTCCTCCTCCTCCTCCTCCTCCTCCTCCTCCTCCTCCTCCTCCCCCTCCCCTGAGGGCTGGGTAGTCGTACCGACGAAGCCCACCCAGCCCTGCTGCGAAGGGCTGGTGTGTAAAGTGGCACCACTCATCGAAACGGCGGGCTACCTCACGAGGAGAGGGAGAACGAGGAAGGCGACGACACGAGAGGACACCAGCAGAGGAGGAGGGAGGCGAGGAGAGGAGTGGAGGGAGAGCAGCAGCCACGACGAGGAGGGCCGGATTGAGGGAGGAGGAGGTCCCAGCTAACCATTGAACCCCCACGGCACTTTGCCCGATATCGGAGGTGGACAGACCTCCTACCCTGACACGTCGATTAAGGGATTGGCCGTTTTCGGTTCGCGAGAGGGCGTCGCGGCCGTCATTTTTGCGGGTCCAGGTCCGTCGATTTCGGTCCCAGGCCGTTTTCACTAAAGGGAGGTTTGCTAAAGGGAGGTTTGTCCACCGCCGACGATAGCGGGCTGCATCGGGGACGGGCCGACTGGGGTGTCTGCGAAGGCGGCGAACCGGGGGAGGGCGCAGGGGGGGGGTCACGGGCGCTGGGGCCCCCAAGTAGTTAACCTGCTGCGGCTGCCGAGGTCCGCCCGTCCCGTCCAACCCCGTATCGCCTCCCTCCCTCCCTCTGGCGGCGGCCGCGAAGAGAGAAAGGACAAGAAGTAAGAAGAGGAGCTGGCCATCGCTCGGACGTCCATTCCCTGTGCTTTTTTCGGTTTCGTGCGTGGTTTCTTCGCCAAATGATCGAGGATTCTCCTCGATGGTCTTCGTCGAAGGAAAAATGCACACGTCCGAGCGATGCCAAGGGAGGGGGGCAGGTGAAGTGCAGTTCGTCGGATCCGCTGCAGCTGCCCGCGGGGTGAGCGGCCGTTGCTGCCCACACCCATTGAGCACCTCAGCCACGCCGGTGGCCGCGGTGAAAGGGCCCGCGGACAGCGGCTAGGCGCGCTGGTGCCGTTCGCCAGGGTCTGGTGGCCACCCCCGCAGAAATCGGGTGAATTGTCCGTTTTCGGTTCTCGAGAGGGCGCCGCGGCCATCGTTTTCCAGGCTTGCGCCCGCCAGGTTCGGGCCCGAGGTCGTTTTCACTAAGCCGCGTTTTGCTAAAGGGGGGCCTGCCCATCCCCGCAGAGACGGGGTGGCAGCGAGGGGGACCCCCCCCCTTGAAGGGGGGAGTCCGGACCCCCCCCCCCTCCCCCCCAATTGGCGCTGGAAAGGAGGGGGGGGGGTTCGACCCCCCGGGGGGGAGGGTTGGGAGGGAGGGGGTCTTGGGGGGGAGGGGAGTCCCCTTGGTTTTGATCGACGGCGCCGATTGTTGGGGGGGGGAGGGAGACCGAGGATGATGAAACAGGGTGCGGGGGTGAGGGCGGTGACGCTGGCGAGAGGCGGGTTGCGCGCGAGCGGCCGGAAGGGAGGGGAAGGTTGGGCGAGGTGGCTCACGGTTCCCATGCCTCCGGCCATTGATTTGTAAAAGTGGCGGCTCACCACCTCGTTCGTCGTGAGGGCCTTCGCGTGGGGGACGTGGGGCCGTCGGTCAGGGCAAAGGGGTCGTGGTGGCCTTCGTGGGGGCCGTTGGGGGGGGGGGGCGGTGCAGGGGGACGCGGGGGGTCGTGGCGTAGCTTGTGGAGGCGCGGAGGGGAGATGGTCATTTCCAGTAGAGTTGCCGCCGCCTCTGTCGCCAGGCGGCAGGAGTGGGTTCGACGTGCCCGAGTCGTCCGAAGTTGCGTCCTCGTCCTCCTCGGGACTTGCCTCCCCTGGCGAGGCAGCGCTGGCTTCGTAGTCGTGCTCGTGGGGGGAGTCCGCGAGGCTGTCGCGCGGGCTGTCGCGGGGGCCGTCGCGGGGGGCGGCGTGGGGGCTGTCGTGGTTTCCGCGGCCGCCTTTGTGCCCGACTTGGCCGTCGCCGTCGCGGGGGTCGGCGCGGGGGTGTGTCGTGGGAGTCGCCGTCGCAGAGGTCGTCGCCCAGAGGCCGTCGTAGTGGGCGTCGTGGGGTCGCGGGGCAGGGGGCCGTCGGTTCGGTTGTCCTGTCGTCCGCCCAGCAGCCCGCGAGTGAAGCGCTGCCCGCAGTAGCCGAGGGAGGCCGTCGCAGGGTTGGTTGCGGGGGCCGTCGTCGGGGCGGTCGCGGGGGGGCCGTCGCCAGGGCCGTCGCGCAGTGGTTGACGCACGGGTTCGCCCTCGTGGTGGGTCTTCGGGGCAGTCAGGTTGGGTGGGGGGTCGTGGGGCCGCTGTGTGGGTCGGGTGGGGTGAGCGTCACTGGCAGTCCCCATGGCCGCTCCCCCAGGTGTGCCCTCCGTGGGCTCCCTCGCAGGGCGTGCGGCCACTCGGGATTTGGACCCCATCGAGGGGCAGTCGGTGCTCCGCCCCGGGCTCGCCAGCGGCCCGTGGGGCCGCTTCCCGGGCTGCGCCCCCCACGGGCCCCCTCGCAGGGCATGCGGCCACTCGGGGCGCAGCCGTCGTGGGGGCCCTTTGAGCAGGGGGCGAGGAGGCCGTCGAGCAGGGCAGGGGGGCGCGGGGTGCCCAGGGAAGGGGGTCGCGGAGCAGGAGGGGTCCTGGAGGAGTCGGCGGGGAGGGAGGGCGAGGAGAGGCAGTCGTCGTGGGGTGCGCCCTGGGGGCCCGTCGCGGGGGGGGGGTATCTCGCGGGCTGCCCGGCGGTCCTCATGACCGCTGCCCCGGGTGTGCCCTCCGCGGGCTCCCTATCGGGGCATGCGGCCACGCGGGACCCTGCCGAAGGGCCAGCGGCGCAGGCTGCTGGTTGGCCGGCCGCCCCTAGAGCCGCGTCCCCGAGTGTGCTCCCCGCGGGCTCCCTCTCAGGGCAGGCGGCCCCTCGGGGCGCGGCCATCGCGGTGGTCGGTGGTCGGGGGGGGGGCAGGCGTACGCGGGGGACGTCGTGGGAGGCCGTCGTGGTGGTGGGTCGTGGGAGCCGTTGCGGTGGCGGGTCGGGTGTGGGGCTCGAGGGGCTGGCTTCGGCTGTCCCGATGGCAGCTTCCCCGGGTGTGCCCTCCGCGGGCTCACCCGCAGGGCATGTGGCCATTCGGGATGCTGAGCCCCGCCGCGGGGCAGGCGGCGCCAGCTACCAGCGGTCCCTATGGCCCCTTCCTCGGGTATGCCCACCACGGGCTCCCACTCAGGGCATGAGGCCACTCGGGGTGCTGCCGCCGTGGGGGCCGCTGGGTGGGGGGTCGCTGGGGCCGTCGTGGGGGTCGTCGTGGGGTCCCTTGTGGGGGCCGTGGGGCAAGGGACCGCGGGTGGGTGTGCGCAGTAAGGCGCACGCCGGGATGTAGGGAGGCATGCAGAGAGCCCCAGCATCGCGGAAGCCGGCGTTGGGCCGGGTGGCACGGCCAGGACAACGATGGTCGTTGTCTTCCTCGTGGTGACGGTCGGTCTGTCCACCTTGGGCGAGCACTGCACGGCTACGATACCGCAGGGTGCCTGCGCGCCGCCTCCATGGCGAGTTGGCGCCTTCGGCGCGCCCCTCGTCGGGCAGCTGTGTGCCCCGGCGTTGCCATTTCCTGGGATCGGATGATTGAGGGCCGCCACGCGTTCGGGCAGCCCCCTGGTGCCATGGCTCTGGCGAACACGATTGGGGAAGCTTAGAGGAGGTAGACGAAACGGAATGGAAAAGAGATCCAGATAAAAACAGATGTAATAGGTTAGGAATGAGGAGAGTTCAGATTCTCGTGTCCTGTCGGCGCACTGCCACTTACATGCCTCAATATCTTGGCGGTTGGTGGCTTGAGCCCAAGTCGCTTGAGCCACAATGGCTACGGACTCCTCCTCCTCCTCCTCCTCCTCCTCCTCCTCCTCCTCCTCCTCCTCCTACTCCTCTTCCTCATCCTCCTCCTCCGCCTCCTCTTACTTCTCCTCATTACTACGTATGTTCCTCCACCCTCATCCTCCTCCTGCTTGTCCTCCTCCTCCTCCTACTCCTCCTCCTTCTCCTCCCCCTATTCCCCCTCCTCCTCCTCCTCCTCCTCCTCCTCCTCCTCCTCCTCCTCCTCTTCCTCCTCTTCCTCCTCCTCCCTTTCCTCCTCCTGCCCCTGCTCCTGCTCCTCGTCCTCCTCCTCCTCCTCCTCCTCGTCCTCATCATCATCATCATCATCATCATCATCATCATCATCATCATCATCAGCAGCAGCAGCAGCAGCATCAGCATTATCATCAGCAGCATCAGCATCATCCGCATCATCATCCCGTCTCCTCCGCCTCTTCCTCTTCCATCCCTCTTCACAAAGGGGGGCTCTTATAAACGAATCCTCCGCGTCGCACCGTCAGACATGTTTGCAGCGCGGCCCAGGCGCTTCTTTTGAGGTGTCCTTGCCAATGCCTCTTAAGCTAGAGACTTCCGGCGGATACAATGATGATTGTGAAGCTTGAGGCTTCCGACTGTGATACAGATGGTTGGCGGCCCGTTTTCAAAATGTGGCTCCCACCCCAGCGCAGCCCGCAATGGTCTCAAAAGACTCCAACAGCTACAAGGATGGAGGGCGGCTCCTTTTTAGAATGTGGCTCTGGTCCTATTATATCAGCGCCGCCCCTCTCCTCGTTCTTATTATTATTATTATTATTTCTATTATTATTATTATTATTAGTTCCCTTATTAATAATAATATTATTATGTTTAGTATTACTAGTATTATTAATACTAGTATTAGTAGTATTCTTATTTTTATTATTGTCATTATAGTATTATTATTATTCCCCATATCCTAAGATGGGGTTCTTGTTCCCCATATCCTAAGATGGGGTTCTTGTTATTACTTGGACGCCTCCTACTCCTCCTCCTTCTTCCTTCTCCTCTTTTCTCGTCCCCTCCTGTCGGACATACTCAGACTTGCTCATACACAGACTTACTCATACTCAGACTTACTCATACTCAGACCTACTCATACTCAGACTTACTCACACCCAGACATACTCATATACAGACTTACTCATACACAGACTTACTCATACACAGTATTAGTCATACCCAGACGTACACATACACAGACTTACTCATACACAGACTTACTCATACTCAGCACCCCTAAGGGGAGCCGCCAGGGGTGGTTGCACGGGCTCGTTCGCGGCCATTTTGTGGGGATGTCTCAGGCGGTTTGCCTGTTTCTGGGCCCAACATCCTTCGCTTTCGGAGCAGATTTGGAGGATGTCTCGAGCGAGGCGCTCATTTCAGCACCCCTAAGGGGAGCCGCCAGGGGTGGTTGCACGGGCTCGTTCGCGGCCATTGTGTGGGGATGTCTCAGGCGGTTTGCCTGTTTCTGTGCCCAACATCCTTCGCTTTCGGAGCAGATTTGGAGGATGTCTCGAGCGAGGCGCTCATTTCAGCACCCCTAAGGGGAGCCGCCAGGGGTGGTTGCACGGGCTCGTTCGCGGCCATTGTGTGGGGATGTCTCAGGCGGTTTGCCTGTTTCTGTGCCCAACATCCTTCGATTTCGGAGCAGATTTGGAGGATGTCTCGAGCGAGGCGCTCATTTCAGCACCCCTAAGGGGAGCCGCCAGGGGTGGTTGCACGGGCTCGTTCGCGGCCATTTTGTGGGGATGTCTCAGGCGGTTTGCCTGTTTCTGTGCCCAACATCCTTCGCTTTCGGAGCAGATTTGGAGGATGTCTCGAGCGAGGCGCTCATTTTCAGCACCCCTAAGGGGAGCCGCCAGGGGTGGTTGCACGGGCTCGTTCGCGGCCATTTTGTGGGGATGTCTCAGGCGGTTTGCCTGTTTCTGTGCCCAACATCCTTCGCTTTCGGAGCAGATTTGGAGGATGTCTCGAGCGAGGCGCTCATTTTCACCCCCCAGGTGGGCCAGATTTTGAGGATGTCTCGATCGGTTTGCTTAGTTTTGGTGGCCAGGCTCGTGGGCGCAGATTCTTCTCAGGATGCCACAGGAGGCTCCAACAGGCTCCAGGAGGCCCCAGGAGACCACATGAGGTCCCAGGAGGCATCAGGAGGCCACAGAAAGACTCAAGAGGCCACAGGATGTCCCAAGAGGCTCCAGGAGGCCCCAGGAAGCTCCAGAAGGCCTCAGGAAACCACAGGAGACCCCAGGAGACAACAGGAAGCGCCAGGAGGCCTCGGAAGGCAACAGGAGGCCCCGAGAGGCCCCAGGAGCAGGAGGCCTCAGAAGGCAACAGGAGTGGCTCCAATCCCATGTGTTTTACGTATGCTCCTATCGATTGGGCCTCACCTGGAGCACGATTCTTTGATGTTCTACGTATGTTTCTATAGATGGTCCTTCTCCTGTGTACACAATCCTAAATGTTTTACCCATGTTCCTATGTATTGGGCCTCTCCTGGGGCACGAGTCCTTGGTGTTTTACGCGTGTTCCTATAGATTGCCCTTCTCCTGTGGCTCTAATCCGCAATGTTTTATGTACGTCTGTTGCTATAGATTGCGCCTCCCCTGGGGCACGAAACCTTCCTAGGAGGTCCCAGGAGGTCCCAAGAGGCTCCTGGAGACCCCAGGAAGCCCCAGTAGGTTTCAGGAGGCCCCAGGAGGCCCCAGGCTCATGCACAGAGACGCGCTCGTACTACTGAGGCTCATTCACACTCCAATTCATTCGCAGTTAGATTGATGTCCAGACCGTCACAACTGAAGCCCGTTAATATTCGAAAGCCCTTGCGCCTAGACATTCACGGCGGACAGGTCCATGCGAGTAGATGCACATATGGGGAGCTCCACGCAGTGAATAATTATTACTTGGACGCCTCCTACTCCTCCTCCTTCCTCCTCCTCGTTTCTCCTCCCCTCCTGTCGGACATACTCAGACTTGCTCATACACAGACTTACTCATACTCAGACTTACCTCATACTCAGACCTACTCATACTCAGACTTACGCACACTCAGACATACTCATATACAGACTTACTCATACACAGACTTACTCATACACAGTATTAGTCATACCCAGACGTACACATACACAGACTTACTCATACACAGACTTACTCATACTCAGCGCCCCTAAGGGGAGCCGCCAGGGGTGGTTGCACGGGCTCGTTCGCGGCCATTTTGTGGGGATGTCTCAGGCGGTTTGCCTGTTTCTGTGCCCAACATCCTTCGCTTTCGGAGCAGATTTGGAGGATGTCTCGAGCGAGGCGCTCATTTCAGCACCCCTAAGGGGAGCCGCCAGGGGTGGTTGCACGGGCTCGTTCGCGGCCATGTTGTGGGGATGTCTCAGGCGGTTTGCCTGTTTCTGTGCCCAACATCCTTCGCGTTCGGAGCAGATGTGGAGGATGTCTCGAGCGAGGCGCTCTTTTCAGCACCCCTAAAGGGGAGCCGCCAGGGGTGGTTGCACGGGCTCGTTCGCGGCCATTTTGTGGGGATGTCTCAGGCGGTTTGCCTGTTTCTGTGCCCAACATCCTTCGCTTTCGGAACAGATTTGGAGGATGTCTCGAGCGAGGCGCTCATTTTCACCCCCCAGGTGGGCCAGATGTTGAGGATGTCTCGATCGGTTTGCTAGTTTTGGTGGCCAGGCTCGTGGGCGCAGATTCTTCTCAGGATGCCACAGGAGGCTCCAACAGGCTCCAGGAGGCTCCAGGAGACCACATGAGGTCCCAGGAGGCATCAGGAGGCCACAGAAAGACTCAAGAGGCCACAGGATGTCCCAAGAGGCTCCAGGAGGCCCCAGGAAGCTCCAGAAGGCCTCAGGAAACCACAGGAGACCCCAGGAGACAACAGGAAGCGCCAGGAGGCCTCGGAAGGCAACAGGAGGCCCCGAGAGGCCCCAGGAGCAGGAGGCCTCAGAAGGCAACAGGAGTGGCTCCAATCCCATGTGTTTTACGTATGCTCCTATCGATTGGGCCTCACCTGGAGCACGATTCTTTGATGTTCTACGTATGTTTCTATAGATGGTCCTTC